TATACAGCCTCATCAGGGCCACACATTGTAAACTGTGTGGACTGATTTATATATACAGCCTCATCAGGGCCACACATTGTAAACTGTGTGACTATATATATACAGCCTCATCAGGGCCACACATTGTAAACTCCAAGGACTGATTTATATATACAGCCTCATCAGGGCCACACATTGTAAACTGTGTGGACTGATTTATATATACAGCCTCATCAGGGCCACACATTGTAAACTGATTTATATATACAGCCTCATCAGGGCCACACATTGTAAACTGTGTGGATGATTATATATACAGCCTCATCAGGGCCACACATTGTAAACTGTGTGGACTGATTTATATATACAGCCTCATCAGGGCCACACATTGTAAACTCCAAGGACTGATTTATATATACAGCCTCATCAGGGCCACACATTGTAAACTGTGTGGACTGATTTATATATACAGCCTCATCAGGGCCACACATTGTAAACTCCAAGGACTGATTTATATATACAGCCTCATCAGGGCCACACATTGTAAACTGTGTGGACTGATTTATATATACAGCCTATACACATTGTAAACTGTGTGGACTGATTTATATATACAGCCTCATCAGGGACACACATTGTAAACTGTGTGGACTGATTTATATATACAGCCTCATCAGGGACACACATTGTAAACTCCAAGGACTGATTTATATATACAGCCTCATCAGGGCCACACATTGTAAACTCCAAGGACTGATTTATATATACAGCCTCATCAGGGCCACACATTGTAAACTGTGTGGACTGATTTATATATACAGCCTCATCAGGGCCACACATTGTAAACTGTGTGGACTGATTTATATATACAGCCTCATCAGGGCCACACATTGTAAACTGTGTGGACTGATTTATATATACAGCCTCATCAGGGCCACACATTGTAAACTGTGTGGACTGATTTATATATACAGCCTCATCAGGGCCACACATTGTAAACTGTGTGGACTGATTTATATATACAGCCTCATCAGGGCCACACATTGTAAACTGTGTGGACTGATTTATATATACAGCCTCATCAGGGCCACACATTGTAAACTCCAAGGACTGATTTATATATACAGCCTCATCAGGGCCACACATTGTAAACTGTGTGGACTGATTTATATATACAGCCTCATCAGGGCCACACATTGTAAACTGTGTGGACTGATTTATATATACAGCCTCATCAGGGCCACACATTGTAAACTGTGTGGACTGATTTATATATACAGCCTCATCAGGGCCACACATTGTAAACTCCAAGGACTGATTTATATATACAGCCTCATCAGGGCCACACATTGTAAACTGTGTGGACCAGCCTCATCAGGACACATTGTAAACTTTATATATACAGCCTCATCAGGGCCACACATTGTAAACTGTGTGGACTGATTTATATATACAGCCTCATCAGGGCCACACATTGTAAACTGTGTGGGACTGATTTATATATACAGCCTCATCAGGGCCACACATTGTAAACTGTGTGGACTGATTTATATATACAGCCTCATCAGGGCCACACATTGTAAACTGTGTGGACTGATTTATATATACAGCCTCATCAGGGCCACACATTGTAAACTCCAAGGACTGATTTATATATACAGCCTCATCAGGGCCACACATTATATATATATATACAGCCTCATCAGGGCCACACATTGTAAACTGTGTGGACTGATTTATATATACAGCCTCATCAGGGCCACACATTGTAAACTGTGTGGACTGATTTATATATACAGCCTCATCAGGGCCACACATTGTAAACTCCAAGGACTGATTTATATATACAGCCTCATCAGGGCCACTTGTATATATACAGCCTCATCAGGGCCACACATTGTAAACTGTGTGGACTGATTTATATATATATACAGCCTCATCAGGGCCACACATTGTAAACTGTGTGGACTGATTTATATATACAGCCTCATCAGGGCCACACATTGTAAACTGTGTGGACTGATTTATATATACAGCCTCATCAGGGCCACACATTGTAAACTGTGTGCCTCATCAGACTGATGTTATATATATATACAGCCTCATCAGGGCCACACATTGTAAACTCCAAGGACTGATTTATATATACAGCCTCATCAGGGCCACACATTGTAAACTGTGTGGACTGATTTATATATACAGCCTCATCAGGGCCACACATTGTAAACTCCAAGGACTGATTTATATATACAGCCTCATCAGGGCCACACATTGTAAACTGTGTGGACTGATTTATATATACAGCCTCATCAGGGCCACACATTGTAAACTGTGTGGACTGATTTATATATACAGCCTCATCAGGGCCACACATTGTAAACTGTGTGGACTGATTTATATATACAGCCTCATCAGGGCCACACATTGTAAACTGTGTGGACTGATTTATATATACAGCCTCATCAGGGCCACACATTGTAAACTGTGTGGACTGATATATATATACAGCCTCATCAGGGCCACACATTGTAAACTCCAAGGACTGATTTATATATACAGCCTCATCAGGGCCACACATTGTAAACTGTGTGGACTGATTTATATATACAGCCTCATCAGGGCCACACATTGTAAACTGTGTGGACTGATTTATATATACAGCCTCATCAGGGCCACACATTGTAAACTGTGTGGACTGATTTATATATACAGCCTCATCAGGGCCACACATTGTAAACTGTGTGGACTGATTTATATATACAGCCTCATCAGGGCCACACATTGTAAACTGTGTGGACTGATTTATATATACAGCCTCATCAGGGCCACACATTGTAAACTGTGTGGACTGATTTATATATACAGCCTCATCAGGGCCACACATTGTAAACTGTGTGGACTGATTTATATATACAGCCTCATCAGGGCCACACATTGTAAACTGTGTGGACTGATTTATATATACAGCCTCATCAGGGCCACACATTGTAAACTGTGTGGACTGATTTATATATACAGCCTCATCAGGGCCACACATTGTAAACTGTGTGGACTGATTTATATATACAGCCTCATCAGGGCCACACATTGTAAACTGTGTGGACTGATTTATATATACAGCCTCATCAGGGCCACACATTGTAAACTGTGTGGACTGATTTATATATACAGCCTCATCAGGGCCACACATTGTACTGATATATATACAGCCTCATCAGGGCCACACATTGTAAACTGTGTGGACTGATTTATATATACAGCCTCATCAGGGCCACACATTGTAAACTGTGTGGACTGATTTATATATACAGCCTCATCAGGGCCACACATTGTAAACTGTGTGGACTGATTTATATATACAGCCTCATCAGGGCCACACATTGTAAACTGTGTGGACTGATTTATATATACAGCCTCATCAGGGCCACACATTGTAAACTGTGTGGACTGATTTATATATACAGCCTCATCAGGGCCACACATTGTAAACTGTGTGGACTGATTTATATATACAGCCTCATCAGGGCCACACATTGTAAACTGTGTGGACTGATTTATATATACAGCCTCATCAGGGCCACACATTGTAAACTGTGTGGACTGATTTATATATACAGCCTCATCAGGGCCACACATTGTAAACTCCAAGGACTGATTATATATACAGCCTCATCAGGGCCACACATTGTAAACATGATTTATATATACAGCCTCATCAGGGCCACACATTGTAAACTGTGTGGACTGATTTATATATACAGCCTCATCAGGGCCACACATTGTAAACTTTATATATATACAGCCTCATCAGGGCCACACATTGTAAACTGTGTGGACTGATTTATATATACAGCCTCATCAGGGCCACACATTGTAAACTGTGTGGACTGATTTATATATACAGCCTCATCAGGGCCACACATTGTAAACTGTGTGGACTGATTTATATATACAGCCTCATCAGGGCCACACATTGTAAACTGTGTGGACTGATTTATATATACAGCCTCATCAGGGCCACACATTGTAAACTGTGTGGACTGATTTATATATACAGCCTCATCAGGGCCACACATTGTAAACTCCAGCCTCATCAGGGCCACACATTGGTGTGGACTGATTTATATATACAGCCTCATCAGGGCCACACATTGTAAACTGTGTGGACTGATTTATATATACAGCCTCATCAGGGCCACACATTGTAAACTGTGTGGACTGATTTATATATACAGCCTCATCAGGGCCACACATTGTAAACTGTGTGGACTGATTTATATATACAGCCTCATCAGGGCCACACATTGTAAACTGTGTGGACTGATTTATATATACAGCCTCATCAGGGCCACACATTGTAAACTCCAAGGACTGATTTATATATACAGCCTCATCAGGGCCACACATTGTAAACTGTGTGGACTGATTTATATATACAGCCTCATCAGGGCCACACATTGTAAACTGTGTGGACTGATTTATATATACAGCCTCATCAGGGCCACACATTGTAAACTGTGTGGACTGATTTATATATACAGCCTCATCAGGGCCACACATTGTAAACTCCAAGGACTGATTTATATATACAGCCTCATCAGGGCCACACATTGTAAACTCCAAGGACTGATTTATATATACAGCCTCATCAGGGCCACACATTGTAAACTCTGTGGGTGTGTGTATCTTAAAATCAAATATATACAGCCTCATCAGGGCCACACATTGTAAACTCCAGGACTGATTTATATATACATATAAACACAGACCTGTGGACTGATATATAATTCAGTGCCACACATTGTAAACTCTGTGGACTGATGTGTATCTTATAAAAATCAAAATAGCCCTTGGTAAACACAGTTTAGGAATTCATATAAAAAGACCACTAGATTTAATTATTGTTTCTACTGAAGTGTTGGAGACCTGTATTCTTGACATCACACACCATCTGACATCCAGATCACTTATATTTGTTAACTTATCATTTTTACAAGCTTTATGTCGGTGTTTTTGAACAGGAGTAAGGCGTGGTGCGTGGTACTATGAGGTCCTTATTGAGGAGATGCCAGCTGATACGGCTTCCAGGATTGGCTGGTCCCAAGAATTAGGTATTTACCTCGGAGAGATTCTTTAGTGTTAAATTTTAATTAAGTTCACTTATTGAGGTACTTTATTTTGAGAGAAAAATCCTTGTAATTTGTTTTATCAATTAAACTTGTCAGTCCTATTAGAAGGGCATGTGTACCACCAAATAAGGTCATTCACAGCTATCTTATTTTACATGAAGTTCCTCTTAAATACTGTCAAAGTTCTTTGACCAAACTTGGACGATTCAAATTTCTCAATGTATTGAATTTTTTTGCGGTCTTGAATTTTTTTCCTATATATTGTTACTAACTTTCCCCTTTATGAATCAAAGTTTTATAAACCAAACTTATCTTTGTATCATAGTTTTTTCACAAAGGGTTAGCTTGTACTTTAAAAGTGTTTTTGTCCTGCGGTAAAATTTTACACATTTCTACAAAGAGTTCAACATTGTACTTCACAATGTGATTACGAGAGCATGCTGTTAATAAGTTTTTGTGACAAGTTTCATTAATGACTGGGCACAGGTTAGAGATTATATGCTTACTTACAAGCCAGGACGTTTAATCAAGGATAATGGAATGTGATGTTCACCACCCCCATAGCAGTAATAGCATATAGCTTGGTCTAATTTACAGAATTGTGAAAAAAATCAGAAGAAATTCTTATGATTATTTCACTCATTCCTAAAGTGTCATTTTTAAGCATAAAGGCATGAGAAACATGGAGATTTATCCATTGGTCATGCAATTTCCTATTGATTTAGACTAAACATCATCACAACATCAGCAAACACCCTTATCATTTTTACGACCTAAGATGTGATGTTAGTGTTGTCGTTTCTGAACAGAATACATTACAATATTAATTTACTTTCTGTTAAATTAATTATTGCTTATAATGTATGCATCAGTCTTAGAATCATTACTGTAGCATATGATGACCACCTTCATGATGCACATTGTCTTATTAGTCCAATGACCAGCGAGGGCTACTATAGGTTTTGTTTCTGTCCATCTGTCCATCCATCTGGTCTGTTTGTCCAGATGTTGGTTTCCAGATGATAATTTCAGAAAGGATTGATGAATTTTGTTGAAACTTCAGAAAGTGTTAGCTTATGAAGTAATAGAGAGTGGGATTGAGTTTGGGGTTAAAAGGTCAACTTCAAAGGTCACTGCTACAAGAAATAGACTTTTATCGTCTTATTTGGGCTTCAACACAATAACTTGTGACAGAGTTGACCGATTGTATTGAAACTTGATGTAATGTAATACTATTAAAAAATATATATGATGGTTTTAAGTTAGGGGTCAAAAGATCAACTGTGAAGGCTCTGAAGATTACTCACTTCTATAGACATTTTTAGGGCCCGGCATCAAAGATACAGGAAGCAAAGTCAGAATAACACCAGTAGTCAACTGACCAGTGTTCAAGGTCACCGTATGATAAGGTCAAGGTCAAATTTTACATACTTTCATGTGTATACTAACAATGTTACTAGAATGGTTAAATTTACTCTTAAATTTCAGACACTAAGCCGTGTCCTTTTGGACATGTCATTGTTTTAGTTTGTGTTCCAGATAATCACTTAATTGAATTAGGGATGACAAACTTGATTAAAACTTCATACAGTATTAAGCATAAGGGAGTGCATATAAAGTTTTTGTTCCACGTTATTTTCTGGATTTTGTTTTCTTCCTGTCAAGACACTAGTTTTTGCAGGACTTTAAATTGTTAAAATGAGACATCTGTTCAGTGTTATCAAGGTTTGTGTTGCTTAGAAAATTTAGTTAATGGCAGAGGACGAGTGTTGCGGGCAACACTAACTGTAAGCTTGTTGCTTTTAGATTTATTAGTGCCTGTAATGTTTACGGATCAGTATTGAAATAGTTACTGTAACACATATAGACCACATTCATGCTGCACTTTGTATTATTTAAACTCAATCATTAAAATACATATACTGTGTGGCATTAAGGCATGAATGTAAAGGTAAGTACACAATGTCAATTTCTCGTTGATTTCTATTTAGAGTTATGGGTTTTGTTTTCTTTTTTTTTCTTTTTTTTTTCAAGAATGAAAATATTTTGTTTTAATATAAAAAAATATGCCTCTTTTAATTTGAACTTTTATTTTAGTATTTCTTGTGTTTGTTCAGGCAATATACTGCTTGGCTAGAGAGATTTTTTTGAGAAATATCTTTTGTGATTTGTATGTTATCTGGTGGCTCCTTGTGAAATATCTTTTCTGGTTTGTAGGTAATCTGCAGGCACCAGTTGGGTATGACAAGTTCAGCTATTCATGGCGGTCAAGGAAAGGCACCAAGTTCCATCAGAGTCGAGGTAAACACTACAGCAGTGGAGGGTATGGTGAGGGGGATGTCATAGGATTCTTTATACACCTGCCAGAACCAGAGGACATCAGGAAAATGTTACCTCAGACATATAAAGACCGGGTAAGTCAGACTTAGTTTTATCAATAGATACACTATGTAAACACTCATGTAATGTCCGGCAACCATCAGGGCTTCCAACTTCAGTGTTAACACTTGGTCTATAGTTAGATCTCACTTCCTAGTTTATATGTTGTCTGTAAGCCCGGTCACAAATGAAGCAAGAGAATCATGTGACAAAATATTTTAATTGTACATTAACCACCTGTTACAAAAATATTAATAAACTTTTAAGAGCATGTAAATGTAACAATGCAGGATAGAGTGAACCAAACTACGTGAGAATTTAATCTCACTCTGCAAATGAGTTTAAGATGTTTGACTTTATTAATGTTAAAAAAGGATGAACAGTATGTTGAAATTACAACTTTTCAGTAATGGTTATAGTACGGCATCTAGATATGTCCTTATTTTATGTACATTTATTACACATTGGGGTAACACATATAATAGGTAAGCTTTCTGTTATAAAGCATTATTTAGAATGTGTAATAAGTCACCCCAATACATATTCCTACTGTTACTGTATTTTCCGGATTATAAGCCACTCCTTTTTTCCTTATGAGTCAGGCATGCAGCTTATACGTGGACGAAAAAAAAAATTCAGCAGGATGAAAAGAAAAATGTTCACCATTACACCAGTATGAAATGGTATTGATTTTTTTACAAGAACCTGCCTGTCACATGTTTGTGACTGAAACAGAACGTCGTTAACCGTCGTTTGCAATTGTATACAGGATGATTTGAATATTGAAATAAATATAATGTTCTGGTGTATGTAATTAATTATACCTTTTAATATGAATCACAATAACATTTTGGAACTTTCGCGGTTACTTCGAAGCCATAGTTGGCATTTACAATAGCCTTTTGCATCCTGGGATCGTTAGGACATTGGGTTATAGGTCAAATTCTACAACGACCGCCATGCTTGTTTACGATATGAATGGCTTCATGTAACTTAAAAACATCAACAATCATGGACCATATCATAAGAAAGGGTGTGGCTTATATTCTGGTGTGGCTTATATGGGGTTCGAAACACTGGCCCTGCGACTTATAACCCAGAAAGCATGATACATGATTTTCTTATACTAAGCATTAAGCTTTCTGTGAGTAGAATATATTCAAGAATAAAGCACAAAAAATTTATTATAATCATTTCTGTAAGGTGGCTTCTCTGGTTAAAGGAAACTTCTCATAGTTTGTCAGTCTGGTTAAAGGAAACTTTTCATAGGTTGCCAGTCTGGTTAAAGGAAACTTCTCATAGGTTGTCAGTCTGGTTAAAGGAAACTTCACATAGTTTGTCAGTCTGGTTAAAGGAAACTTCTCATAGTTTATCAGTCAGGTTAAAGGAAACTTCTCATAGGTTGTTAGTCAGGTTAAAGGAAAATTCTCATAGGTTGTTAGTCTGGTTAAAGGAAACTTCTCATAGTTTGTCAGTCTGGTTAAAGGCAACTTCTCATAGGTTGTCAGTCTGGTTAAAGGCAACTTCTCATAGGTTGTCAGTCTGGTTAAAGGAAACATCTCATAGTTTGTCAGTCTGGTTAAAGGAAACATCTCATAGTTTGTCAGTCTGGTTAAAGGAAACTTCTCATAGTTTGTCAGTCTGGTTAAAGGAAACTTCTCATAGTTTGTCAGTCTGGTTAAAGTAAACATCTCATAGGTTACCAGTCTGGTTTAAAGGAAACTTCTCATAGGTTGTCACTTTGGTTAAAGGAAACTTCTCATAGGTTGTCAGTCTGGTTAAAGGAAACATCTCATAGGTTGTCAGTCTGGTTAAAGGAAACATCTCATAGGTTACCAGTCTGGTTTAAAGGAAATCTTTGTCACAAGCAGTGACTTCTTAGACTGGGTGAAATTTTGAGGACCTCTTTAAGTAATACTTGATGTCAGTAGAGAAAGGTAATTTTACACTGGAAAATTGAAACATTTCAGTGGTGAGGTAATTTTACTATGTGAAAATGAGGCATTTTAGTGGTGAGGTAATTTTACAATGTGAAAATGAAACATTTTAGTGGTGAGGTAATTTTACATTGTGAAAAACCTTTCTGAATTAGTGTTGATAGGATAGTGACTTAGCGTTGATAGGATAGTGACTTAGCGTTGATAGGATAGTGACTTAGCGTTGATAGGATAGTGACTTAGCGTTGATAGGATAGTGACTTAGCGTTGATAGTGACTATCATTAGTTTGTTTTACACTGGCATTCTTTATCCTCAAGTGAATTATTGAGTGTGCCTCAGCTTTAATAGTATGTGTTCTACCTATAATGATTACGTGGAGAAACAGGAAGTTTCAGGCAATACTGGTATCACACATGTCATTGTCAAAGAGATTGTAATATTTCATAAAACAGAACAATTGCATAACCATTAAATGGTGTTTCCAGATTTAAACATAAATGATTGTGAATCAAATTTGTGATATATAAGGCGTAATAGACACTTCTATTGAATTATCATCTGAGTTTCTGTTGGAGATTAGGTTTACTTAAAGCAAGACACTATTATATAATTTACTCAAAACCAGGAGATTTCTTGGGACAAAGTATATGAGATATCCAAGGACCTTATGAAAACGTTTTTCATTAAATACAACTGTAATGACATTATGTGTAGGTTTGTGATATGTTACTGTAAAATCATTAATTTTAGTGGGGTTTATTTTTGTTAATTTCAGGAGTACTCTTAATCTACAATTGATATCTCTACGATCTGTTGAAATTGGTATAAGTAGATTTATTGAGCTATCCACAAAATCAACTGTCAAAAAACTGTTCGAAAAAGGCTCAAAAATTGAACCCCACAAAAAATAGATCAGTTTGCAGAATGTTTAGGATTAAATTGTCATTAATATCATATCTAGAAACATAATAACATATAAAACACATTGCAACAATTTGTTAAAGTAATTTAACACACACACACATGCTGAATATTTCAACATTTAGCTACGGCATAAAACACAAATAATCAGTAATTAAAACATCTAAATAGACTCTGTGTTGACATTATGAAGCCAATACATTTAACATGTGTTTAAACTGGAAATTTATTCTTTAATTTGACATTATATATAATAGGAAGGACTGACAGGTGTTTTTCTCTCAGAACTTCTTAATAGTAGATAAAGATGGTTGCAAGTGATAATCAGCATTTTATTTCTGAGCTTCACAAACAACAACCCTGTGATTATAAAGACAAGTCAAGGTTATAATCTTCACTGTGTGGTGTGATTATACAGACAGGGTTATAATCTTCACTGTGTAGTGTGATTATAAAGACAAGTCTGTGTTATAATCTTAACTGTGTGGTGTGATTATAAAGACAAGTCTGTGTTATAATCTTCACTGTGTGGTGTGATTATAAAGACAAGTCTGTGTTATAATCTTCACTGTGTGGTGTGATTATAAAGACAAGTCTGTGTGTGGTGTGATTATAAAGACAAGTCTGTGTTATAATCTTCACTGTGTGGTGTGATTATAAAGACAAGTCTGTGTTATAATCTTCACTGTGTGGTGTGATTATAAAGACAAGTCTGTGTTATAATCTTCACTGTGTGGTGTGATTATAAAGACAGGGTTATAATCTTCACTGTGTGGTGTGATTATAAAGACAAGTCTGTGTTATAATCTTCACTGTGTGGTGTGATTATAAAGACAAGTCTTTGTTATAATCTTCACTGTGTAGTGTGATTATAAAGACAAGTCTGTGTTATTATCTTCACTGTGTGGTGTGATTATAAAGACAAGTCTGTGTTATATTCTCACTGTGTGGTGTGATTATAAAGACAAGTCTGTGTTATAATCTTCACTGTGTGGTGTGATTATAAAGACAAGTCTGTGTTATATTCTCACTGTGTGGTGTGATTATACAGACAAGTCTGTGTTATAATCTTCACTGTGTGGTGTGATTATAAAGACAAGTCTGTGTTATTATCTTCACTGTGTGGTGTGATTATAAAGACAAGTCTGTGTTATATTCTCACTGTGTAGTGTGATTATACAGACAGGGTTATAATCTTCACTGTGTAGTGTGACTATAAAGACAAGTCTGTGTTATATTCTCACTGTGTGGTGTGATTATAAAGACAAGTCTGTGTTATATTCTCACTGTGTAGTGTGATTATAAAGACAAGTCTGTGTTATAATCTTCACTGTGTGGTGTGATTATAAAGACAAGTCTGTGTTATATTCTCACTGTGTGGTGTGATTATAAAGTGTGATGTGATTATAAAGACAAGTCTGTGTTATAATGTGTGGTGTGATTATAAAGACTTGTGTTATATTCACTGTGTAGTGTGATTATACAGTGTGTGTGTGATAAAGACAGGGTTATAATCTTCACTGTGTGGTGTGACTATAAAGACAAGTCTGTGTTATATTCTCACTGTGTGGTGTGATTATAAATTATAAAGACAAGTCTGTGTTATATTCTCACTGTGTGGTGTGATTATACAGACAAGTCTGTGTTATAATCTTCACTGTGTGGTGTGATTATAAAGACAAGTCTGTGTTATATTCTCACTGTGTGGTGTGATTATACAGACAAGTCTTTGTTATAATCTTCACTGTGTGGTGTGATTATACAGACAAGTCTGTGTTATATTCTCACTGTGTAGTGTGATTATACAGACAAGTCTGTGTTATAATCTTCACTGTGTGGTGTGATTATAAAGACAAGTCTGTGTTATATTCTCACTGTGTGTGTGATTATAAAGACAAGTCTGTGTTATAATGTGTGGTGTGATTATACTTGTGTTATATTCACTGTGTGGTGTGATTATACAGACAAGTCTGTGTTATAATCTTCACTGTGTGGTGTGATTATACAGACAAGTCTGTGTTATATTCTCACTGTGTGGTGTGATTATACAGACAAGTCTGTGTTATATTCTCACTGTGTGGTGTGATTATACAGACAAGTCTGTGTTATATTCTCACTGTGTAGTGTGATTATACAGACAAGTCTGTGTTATATTCTCACTGTGTGGTGTGATTATACAGACAAGTCTGTGTTATATTCTCACTGTGTGGTGTGATTATACAGACAAGTCTGTGTTATATTCTCACTGTGTAGTGTGATTATACAGACAAGTCTGTGTTATATTCTCACTGTGTGGTGTGATTATACAGACAAGTCTGTGTTATATTCTTGACAGCAGTGTAAGGATATTTTGGCAGATGAGATATTTCAGCAAAATAACATCAATATAGAAGTTTCTGTCTACTGTAATAATCAATGTCTGGACAAGTAAATACAAAAATAGGTTTTCATTTTGTGTTACATCTCCTGTCACAAATCATCAGCTTTCTGAAAAAGAAGAATTGGTATATATAACGTTTTGTAAGCAGAATACTTCAGGTTCATATCGAGACAGAATTTTGAAATGTCCATTTTTGTGAAACATGTTCTTGATTATTTGTGATATTTTCAAGCAGCACACTGCTGGCCAGCTAGAATCTGAATATAGATTATCTCCCTTTCTTTGATCTCAGACACATTTTATTAAATTCACATATTTCATGTCAATATTAATTACTTCATTTCTGAAATCTTTTTTCAATTTAGATATATTTTATTGATAATGCAATATACATTGATATATTTAGAAAGCAGGCAATGTCTATATCAGTCTTCTCTAATTGTATTGATTGTTTTTTTGTAAATTACATTTTTACGCTTCACTGACCTCTTTATCGGGGGACTGTTTCTTGAGTCTTTCTGATAAAGCTGCAAAAGTGATATTGAAAGGAAAAGTTTAAAAAAATCAAGTGGTTGTGTTTTAATATTTCAAATAAGAATGTTAATGTGTAGAACTTATGAGCAAGTTATCAATGGAGATCAAGAATCAGATATGTATTGATTAATGGTTTTATGTGATAAGGATTTCCATCTAGTCATCATATGTATGGTTATGTCCCTGACAGGTTTGGAACTTGACTAACTTTTAGCAGGTATTGTGTAACTTACCTTTCATGAGTTGGTCGTCCCTGACAGGTTTAGGACTTGACTAACTTGTTGCAGGTATTGTGTAACTTACCTTTCATGAGTTGGTCATCCCTGACAGGTTTAGGACTGGGTTTAGGACTAACTCGTGGACTAACTTTTATCACCTCAACGGTGCTCTTTGGTCGCTCTGTAAAGGTAAAATATTGATAGATATAAGCTGTTGATCCATAGTAAGTAAATGCTGCTGTGTAGAGATCTGATAGAGATAGGGTATCTTTACTAGATACATGTTTTGTTTGTCCCCATCATCCTACATTCTGATTTGTCAAAATACTATGGTTATATGACAAATGCTATGGTAATATGACAGAAATGCTATGGTAATATGACAAATGCTATGGTAATATGACAGAAATGCTGTGGTAACATGACAGAAATGCTATGGTGATATGACAGGAATGCTATGGTAATATGACAGAAATGCTGTGGTAATAAGACAAATGCTATGGTAATATGACAGAAATGCTATGGTAATATGACAGAAATGCTATGGTAATAAGACAGAAATGCTATGGTGATATGACAGAAATGCTGTGGTAATATGACTGAAATGCTGTGGTAATGTGACAGAAATGCTATGGTAATAAGACAAATGCTATGGTGATATGACAGGAATGCTATGGTAATATGACAGAAATGCTATGGTAATATGACAGAAATGCTATGGTAATATGACAAATGCTGTGGTAATAAGACAGAAATGCTATGGTGATATGACAGAAATGCTGTGGTAATATGACTGAAATGCTGTGGTAATGTGACAGAAATGCTATGGTAATAAGACAAATGCTATGGTGATATGACAAGAATGCTATGGTAATATGACAGAAATGCTATGGTAATAAGACAAATGCTATGGTAATATGACAGAAATGCTATGGTAATATGACAGAAATGCTATGGTAATAAGACAGAAATGCTATGGTGATATGACAGAAATGCTGTGGTAATATGACTGAAATGCTGTGGTAATATGACTGAAATGCTGTGGTAATGTGACAGAAATGCTATGGTGATATGACAGGAATGCTATGGTAACATGACAGAAATGCTATGGTAACATGACAGAAATGCTATGGTGATATGACAGGAATGCTATGGTAACATGACAGAAATGCTATGGTGATATGACAGGAATGCTATGGTAACATGACAGAAATGCTATGGTAACATGACAGAAATGCTATGGTGCTATGACAGAAATACTGTGGTGATATGACAGAAATGCTATGGTAATATGACAGAAATGCTGTGGTAATATGTCAGAAATGCTGTGGTAATATGTCAGAAATGCTGTGTAATATGACTGAAATGCTATGATAATATTACAGAAATGCTATGGTAACATGACAGAAATGCTATGGTAATATGACAGAAATGCTATGGTTATATGACAGAAATGCTATGGTAATATGACAGAAATGTTATGATAATATGACAGAAATGCTATGGTAATATTACAGAAATGCTATGGTATTATTACAGAAATGTTATGATAATATGACAGAAATGCTATGGTAATATTACAGAAATGCTATGATTAAGGCTTTAAAAACTCAATGAAATTAACCTGGTTTAAAAAATAAAGAAAATGTGTCTGGATGTGTAATTTGTGTTGAAATGTTGCCACTTGCCTGTAGTTGGAGCCTCCTTTTCAGGACTGTGGACCAGCGTTGATCCTGTTGATCTGCGTTTGGCTGTGGGATCAATTTGTAAGAATATATTTCCAGAGGTGTCTATATTGGACTGTGACACAGGACTAGAGTCTATGGAACGAGTGTTTTTATCTACAGTGGGGCGTACAGCACTACTCTGTACCACTGATTTGTCCATTACAGATTCTAATAACTTTTGTTTCTCTTCCTTTGTCTTAGAATCATCAACTTCTTTCCCACTTATAAGAGGACTTGTTTCACCTTTCTCCTCAGTCTTTTCTTCAATCTGTGTAGAAATCAACAACTGATCACTGATATGTGTAAGATCATATTTGTCAAGAGTTTCAATGAAGAAATAAAAATCTACTTCAAATATAGAAAGGACATTTATAACCAAGTATTTAGATCTTAACCCTCTATAGTAACAGGAATGGGGGTGGAGCTTAACCCTCTATAGTAACAGGAATGGGGGTGGAGCTTAACCCTCTATAGTAACAGGAATGGGGGTGGAGCTTAACCCTCTCTAGTAACAGGAATGGGGGTGGAGCTTAACCCTCTATAGTAACAGGAATGAGGTTGGGGCTATACTCTCTATAATAACAGGTTTAGTGGTGGAGCTAAACTTTCTATAACATCAGAAATGGGGATGGAAGTGTACTTTTTATAATAACAGTTTTGGGGGTGGAGCTAAACATTCTGTAGTAACAGGTATTGGGGGTGGAGCTAAATTTCCATAATAACAGATATGGGGGCGGAGTTCAACTTTCTATATACTTGCTATAGTATCAGGTATTGGGCAGAATTACACTTACCATAATAACAGATTTTGGGCAGAGCTATAATTTCCGTAGTAACAGTTCTGTAGCTGAAGTTAAATTTTCCATAGAAATAGGATTGAAACAGAGCTGAACTTTCCATAGTTACTTAGAGGTTTTAAGGCAGAGCTATACGTACCATACTGACAGGTTTTGGGGCGGGGCTATTTGTTGCCCTGGCCCGGCGCCCCCCAACAGCCTGTGAAGTTCTGTTTCTTGTCTTTGGTGCACTTGCTTTGGTGAACTGGAAATAAGGATATATAGATTAAATCAAATAAATTTCTGAAGTGGAAAATAAGCAAGTTTTCTATCAAATCTGAAAGATATAGGTATGGACAGCTGCATACAATATATAAAATGGAGTACCCAGGGAAAACCCATGTCGCTGGGCAGGAGGCTCCATACTTTTTCATGTACATGCGTTATCACTGTGCCACCCAACCACTCATAACATATGATCTATATGTAGACTTAAGACTGAATGTAATGCTGCATATTAATATGTCATCGCTAACTTTTGCTGGTTTTTACATGGTATTCAAAGTGCAGGAGATTAAAATGAAACACTGGCATTTCTTAACAGCCAAACATGTTAGTGTTTCAAAAGATGATGATATCATTATCGACATATTTTTAAATGTCCCAAACAGGCCAGAAAGTTTGGATTATATCGTCTATAATTATTGCTGATAAATTATTACACCCTTCTTGTGTCAGTTTTGCATACCTGATAATTTCAACAATCAATGATGACGGCTTTGCAGAATCTTAAAATTTGCAAGAGAAAAAATCTTTGAATCCTATAACTGTGTGATGTAACCCACCCCCACCCCCATCCCCCACCCCCATCCACATCCCCCAACACCATCCCCCACCCCATCCCCCACCCCATCCCCCACCCCATCCCCCATCCCCACCCCCTATCCCCCCCATACTTTAAACCTTTCACTTCTCAGTAATGTACACATTTTGTGGGTTATTATATTAATTGATAGCTGTGAATTGATTTGATTTATTTAAAGATCTTTATGAAAGAATTCAATATAGTACATTACTTACTGATTTAAGAACCTCACTCTGACGTTTGATGACAGCAAATTCATCATCCTCGTCATCACTTGCAATGACCACATCAGGATTGTCTGGGTACAGCCGACTAAGGATAGAAAATATGAAAGTGGACAGAATAAGCATATATATATATATAAGAAGATTTGAGATATCTTGTACAAGGGAAAGAAATCTACAGTGTTTAGTACTTTAACACATACTCTTTACTAGGTTTGGGGCTCACTGCAGGTGACTTTGCTGGTTTGGGGCTCACAGTGGGGGATGTTTTTGTTGAAGATGGTGATTGGTTACTTTCTTCTTGACCCACTTCCTCTCCTTCATCTTCCTCGATGGTCACTTTGGGTTTAGGAGTTCTGCCCTGAAGTGGAGAATTACCATCAGTAAACTATGGAAATGAAAGTTTTCAGTAATGAGGATTTTATAAGTGGAGAATTTCAGCTTTAAAGATTTGTAAGAGGATACATTTATTAAAAAGGAAATACCTGGTATAATGTCTAAGTTAAGAAATACAATGTGATATGGATCATGTTAAAGGATGTAGATGATAAATCATCTGTGAAGGGTGACCAATATTTCCATGAATGTGTGTTTATATACATGTGCAAGCTTTCATTCATACTAGGATATTACAACAAATTTGATTGGTTAGATATAATGCTGAATTATTATAATAACAAATCTGATTGGTTAAAAACTTGGAATTTCTGTGAGTAATATTACACAGAATGATTATCATAAGAAGGACATAACCATGACTTAAGGGCCTATTTATTATTGACCCTGAATAATTCTCTGAAGTGTTCTTTATTTACTGTGGCCTCAGCTGTAAACAAAACAAAAATGCCATTGAGAAACAGGTTAGTCAGTACACTGGAGGTAGATTCTTTAGCCTGAGACATATTATTAACATCCTCTACCTGTCCTTGTACGTGTATTCTGATGTACATTATAACATCTTGGTACAAAATTTTAAAAACTTTTGTCACTCTCATTTCAAATGTATTTTCAGTCTGTTGAAAATAAATGAAAAGTAACATTCTGTTGTAGGACTGGTTTTCAATATGAAACTTCAACGTTGACTTCAGTAAACTTTGTATATCCCTGTCCTCTGCCTTGGCTAAGCTGGGCTTTTTAAAATAGAAAGAATGTTATTTGTTAAATCAGCCTTTTATATAGATTTTTAAAATTTCAATACAGTTTTTCTTGGAAACAGTCTGTTTTTTGGTGTATAAATGTATTTTTACAATGAACTATTAAAAAGCGTACAATCCCCTTGTATCAGGTATTTTCTGCAACTTTACAGATTAATATCTCTGTAGGTAGTGTCAGGTACCCTCCTCAACTTATACAGAATAATATCTCTGTAGGTAGTGTCAGGTACCCTCCTTGACTTATACAGATTAATATCTCTGTAGGTAGTGTCAGGTACCCTCCTTGACTTATACAGAATAATATCTCTGTAGGTAGTGTCAGGTACCCTCCTTGACTTATACAGAATAATATCTCTGTAGGTAGTATCAGGTACCCTCCTTGACTTATACAGATTAATATCTCTGTAGGTAGTATCAGGTACCCTCCTTGACTTATACAGATTAATTAATATCTCTGAAGTCTTACAGGGACTCAATTATGAAATAATGAGGTGGTGATGACTAGAATATGTTTGTATAGTGTACTCTGTGTTTGGTGTGAGACACTGTGATAGTTTGTGATAAATGTGTAGCACACAATTTAGCCAGTATGGTTTATCCCTCGTGCTCATTCAATGGGAGATTGATCAACAAAACCTCCTGCTATACACACATACAGGTGTTTTGTCTAGACATTGAGAAACTACCAGCAATGATAAATGAATTCAAGTCATTATAAATCATAGTCTTACCTTACTAAAGAATGACCCCATTGAAAGTTTCAAACTGATCTATTTGCGGTGGTATGTGATCGTATTTATGAACTAGATCCGGAACTTCCTGTTCACACAGAGTGTTGTGACTTGTGACTGTACACACCTGACACATCAATCTCCCCCTGCCTAGTCAACAGGTACACTCCTATCAAAGCAAGGGCTATATCTACTTATACACAGGCCTGTCAGCTCTTACACTTCATATTTAAAATACTTTGGAATCTCAATGAATTACTTACACATTGTAAATCATGTACAGGGATTATTACTGATATAGGAAGTAAACTCAGACAGAAAACACTAGACTGTAATTTACATCGGTGTAGAAGGGACAGAAACCACCATTCAAGTTATATTAGTGTGGTAGGGGACAGAAACCACAAGTCTAGTTACATTGGTGTAGAAGGGACAGAAACCACCAGTCAAGTTATATTAGTGTGGTAGGGGACAGAAACCACAAGTCTAGTTACATTGGTGTGGTAGGGGACAGAAACCACCAGTCAAGTTACATTGGTGTGGTAAGGGACAGAAACCACTAGTCAAGTTATATTAGTGTGGTAGGGGAAAGAAACCACAAGTCAAGTTATATTTGTGTGGTAGGGGACAGAAACCACCAGTCAAGTTATATTGGTGTGGTAGGGGACAGAAACCACCAGTCAAGTTACATTAGTGTGGTAGGGGACAGAAACCACCAGTCAAGTTATATTGGTGTGGTAGGGGACAGAAACCACCAGTCAAGTTATATTGGTGTGGTAGGGGACAGAAACCACCAGTCAAGTTACATTGTCATGGTAGGGGACAGAAACCACCAGTCAAGTTATATTGGTGTGGTAGGGGACAGAAACCACCAGTCAAGTTATATTGGTGTGGTAGGGGACAGAAACCACCAGTCAAGTTATATTGGTGTGGCAGGGGACAGAAACCACCAGTCAAGTTACATTGGTGTGGTAGGGGACAGAAACCACCAGTCAAGTTATATTGGTGTGGTAGGGGACAGAAACCACCAGTCAAGTTACATTGTCATGGTAGGGGACAGAAACCACCAGTCAAGTTACATTAGTGTGGTAGGGGACAGAAACAGTTTCTGCATAGCAGCACATGTCCAACATCTAAGATCTACACACACTGTTTTACCTGAGATGGTGCAAGTCCTGATTGTAATATAGAAAGAACCCTGAAGATGGTGTTAGCTTTACAGATATATATAAAGGTTACACTGTTATTGTACTGGTGACCTGTGCTATATATATTGACACATGTTGTTTATTTGTCATGTGCTATATTTATTTACAGAGCACCTGTTTGTTATCAACAGGTAGCTATGATGTGAAATTACATCACATCACATGCCTTTATATCCCCCTCCGCTACTTACTGGTGGTATATATAAACCGGTAAGCCATACAGCTGTTTTTCTGATAGCAACCCACTGCAGTCATTTTTGTAGGATATTTTCTGGTGAGGCCAGATCACCAATTCCATAATTTTGTCCCAATACTTATGAGAGATAGAGTGTTTTCAACATCTGTACAAGTCCCAATACTTATGAGAGATAGTGTTCTCAACATCTGAGCAAGTCCCAATACTTATGAGAGATAGTGTTCTCAAAATCTGTACAAGTCCCAATACTTATGAGAGATAGAGTTCTCAAAATCTGTACAAGTCCCAATACTTATGAGAGATAGAGTGTTCTCAACATCTGTACAAGTCCCAATACTTATGAGAGATAGTGTTCTCAACATCTGTACAAGTCCCAATACTTATGAGAGATAGTGTTCTCAACATCTGTACAAGTCCCAATACTTATGAGAGATAGTGTTCTCAACATCTGAGCAAGTCCCAATACTTATGAGAGATAGTGTTCTCGACATCTGTACAAGTCCCAATACTTATGAGAGATAGAGTGTTCTCAACATCTGTACAAGTCCCAATACTTATGAGAGATAGAGTGTTCTCAACATCTGTACAAGTCCCAATACTTATGAGAGATAGTGTTCTCAACATCTGTACAAGTCCCAATACTTATGAGAGATAGTGTTCTCAACATCTGTACAAGTCCCAATACTTATGAGAGATAGTGTTCTCAACATCTGTACAAGTCCCAATACTTATGAGAGATAGAGTGTTCTCAACATCTGTACAAGTCCCAATACTTATGAGAGAGAGTGTTCTCAACATCTGTACAAGTCCCAATACTTATGAGAGACAGAGTGTTCTCAACATCTGAGCAAGTCCCAATACTTATGAGAGATAGTGTTCTCAACATCTGTACAAGTCGCAATACTTATGAGATACTGAGTGTTTTCAACATCTGAGCAAGTCCCAATACTTATGAGATATTTAGTGTTCTCAAAATGTGGTGTAATGTGCTGCCTTGTTAGGAATGTGGCTGTGGTATACCTGACGGTCCAGTGTATCAGACCCAGAAGCAATGATAGAACCATCTGTCTGGTATATCACAGTCCATTAGCTCGGCTAATGACCACAAACAAGGCCATGATACTACAAACAAGGTAACACACCATGTAATCTTTACATGTCTGTACTGTTACACTTCTTACAACAGGCCATACCACCTGTTCCTTGGGGGAACCAACAGGCACTATCAGCCCAGCCAGGACTAGGAGGAAGTGCTTTACATTGTCATCAGACAAAACAACCAATACAACCGGAACAACCATTCATGTGAAATTAGACTACATTTCCATGGTGGCAAGATGGCTGAGATTTTTTCACTTGTCATCACAGGCACTGCCCACTATTTGGAGGCAAACCACTTCGCAACTTGCAGCATATCCTTCTAGGTGTCCTTATATGGCAATCTGTTACCTATATTCTATAGCATTAATTACCTGCCAGCTGAGGCAACAAGTCCCAGATACATGTGTGATTTTCTTCAGTTTTCTGGGTATATAACTATTCAGAGTTCTTAATTTTCATAATGTTTTTTGCTATTTATTTATCAGTATTATAGGGCTGTTGTCACAAGTATTCATGGCTTACAGTAGCTGTCTACCTACAATGTTAGGTCTATACATTAACACTAAGTTCAATTCCATTTTCCTAATTTCATAACATTACGGGGTGGTACTGTATCAGCAGCTTAGCCTCTTATGTTACGTCTGATGATCTATGGATCTAAACATCAACACTTTGACTAAGTTTTCTTCACTGCTGAACTACTAATGGATCACATTCTTGCTAAGTAACAGTAAAATTTTCAGCTTTTCAGGGCATTGATGTTTTGCCAAACATTTATCAGCAAGTCTTATTGGTGGGCGAGTGACCTCAGATTATATCTTCACGGTTGCTCGTCTCTGACCTCCAACAGTGATGGGAAAACAAAATACATTTAATCAGTATACCACTCACACTTTGATATTACCTGTAGTTTAGATATCACAGAACACTTCAGACACAACAATCTCTTTGTTATTGATGTACTTTCACTTTGTTATCATTTTACATTGACCTTTATTGTGTTATGTAATATTCTTTTTCTTTTTTCATCTTGATCCTCCTTCCCAAGTGAATTGTTTCTAAACTATCATTACTCACACTTTTGCAGATCTCCTATGTGCTTAGTAAGACATTGTTAACAGAGTACTGTCTACAGATCTACATTATATTCAGTGTGACATTGACTACAGAGTACTGTCTACAGATCTACATTATATTCAGTGTGACATTGACTACAGAGAACTGTCTACAGATCTACATTATATTCAGTGTGACATTGACTACAGAGAACTGTCTACAGATCTACATTATATTCAGTGTGACATTGACTACAGAGAACTGTCTACAGATCTACATTATATTCAGTGTGACATTGACTACAGAGTACTGTCTACAGATCTACATTATATTCAGTGTGACATTGACTACAGAGAACTGTCTACAGATCTACATCATATTCAGTGTGACATTGACTACAGAGTACTGTCTACAGATCTACATTGTATTCAGTGTGACATTGACTACAGAGAACTGTCTACAGATCTACATTATATTCAGTGTGACATTGACTACAGAGAACTGTCTACAGATCTACATTATATTCAGTGTGACATTGACTACAGAGAACTGTCTACAGATCTACATAGTATTCAGTGTGACATTGACTACAGAGAACTGTCTACAGATCTACATTATATTCAGTGTGACATTGACACTACAGAGAACTGTCTACAGATCTACATTATATTCAGTGTGACATTGACTACAGAGAACTGTCTACAGATCTACATTATATTCAGTGTGACATTGACTACAGAGAACTGTCTACAGTTATTTAACACCATGGAGAGATAATTATAAAACCATACATGTGGAGATATTAGTAAAGATATGACCTCAGATATTGACAAACCTCAGACTGATTGTGTGATGATTTGGATCTGACTTAGAACATTTTAGGGTTTAGATTCCTGAGATCTTTCCCAGATTATAAACAATCTATTGATTTATCTTTTGAAGTTTTTTTATAACATGACCTTTTACAAGCAATCTGTTTGATTTAATATTGAAAATGCTTTTTCATGGATAGAAATCTGTTTCCTTACTGTGATTGTTTATATGATAATGTCGCTATTCAGCAGTTTAACTCATCTGAAATACATTCAATATATACAACATGTTTCTGAAGGCTGAACAGTGTGACAGGAAGGACTTTTTTCAGTGTTGCTGTACCTACCATACCAATGAGAATTCCCTTATTTTCAAACACCTTGAAGGCATCGCTCTCAGGTCGTTTCTTCAACACTTGACCCCTGACCTCATTTGAGGTGGGACTAGCAGGCTTTTCTTCGAAAGCTTTAATCCTGTTTCTAACAGATACATCCTTTTCTTCAGAGGCTTCCCGGTCATGTGTTCTACAACAACACAAACAATTCTTTTTTTGAATACTGTATTATAGTCAAGTAACACTCTTTAGCAAAGTAACACTCTTAAGCAAAGTAACATTCTTCAACATTTTAATATTCTTTGGCAAAGTAACATTCTTCAACATTTTAATATTCTTTAGCAAAGTAAAATTCTTTACCACGGTAATATTTTTCATAAAGTAATACTTTTTAATATTGTAACATTCTTCAAAAAAGTAACATTCCTTGTCATGTAACATTCTTTAGCAAAGTAACATTCTTTACCATGGTAACATTCTTCAGCAAAGTAACATTCTTTACCATGGTAACATTCTTTCATATTGTATCATTGCACAGTAACAATGACAGTTAATAAAGAGCATAATAGATGTTTTATTTAAATGTTTAGAAATCCTCTGTTCACAGTCTACCTACATATGTAGTATTCTGCTTTGATTATACACAGTGAAACAGTGATACAGAGATGTACTGGAGACTACAGGTATATCTGTCGACTCACAACTTCCTTCCTCCCTATCAAGTTCCATGATTCATGCTTATTTTTCCTGGGGTTGTAAATTGTACTGCTAGGGTGTTGTTTATAGTATATAGGATAACAAGCAGTTTACTGTACATATCACAGACAAATATCCATTGTTTATAGTATATAGGATAACAAGCAGTTTACTGTACATATCACAGACAAATATCCATTGTTTATAGTATATAGGATAACAAGCAGTTTACTGTACACAGACAAATATCCATTGTTTATAGTATATAGGATAACAAGCAGTTTACTGTACATATCACAGACAAATATCCATTGTTTATAGTATATAGGATAACAAGCAGTTTACTGTACACAGACAAATATCCATTGTTTATAGTATATAGGATAACAAGCAGTTTACTGTACATATCACAGACAAATATCCATTGTTTATAGTATATAGGATAACAAGCAGTTTACTGTACATATCACAGACAAATATCCATCGTTTAGTACATCAATGGGACACCTCAACATTTTAATTTCTAGGCATATAGGATAACAAGCAGTTTACTGTACATATCACAGACAAATATCCATTGTTTATAGTATATAGGATAACAAGCAGTTTACTGTACATATCACAGACAAATATCCATTGTTTATAGTATATAGGATAACAAGCAGTTTACTGTACATATCACAGACAAATATCCATTGTTTATAGTATATAGGATAACAAGCAGTTTACTGTACATATCACAGACAAATATCCATCGTTTATAGTATATAGGATAACAAGCAGTTTACTGTACATATCACAGACAAATATCCAGAGTTACAGAAATTAGTAGAATAGTAAGATACTGGCAGGTTTATAAAACCTGTCTAATATATAGAAATCATTTCAAACATTACTTGAAAAATATGGATGATAGAATGTTCTAAAGGTGTTCTACAGTATCCTTCTATCAGACCAAGAGAACAGCTTATACCAATGAACCAAATAAAATGTCCTTTATGTCAGAGAGTACATCTCAATCGGTAGTAATTTCAGTGCTTTTGAGGTTAACTGACAAGACATCAATTTTTTTATAAGAAATGGATACAGAACCCATGTTTCTTAATGTCATGTCAATGTAACTAGGGTAATTATAGACAGGTGATAGACAGTAGACTATAGGCAGGTGATAGACAGTAGACTATAGCCAGGTGATAGACAGTAGACTATAGGCAGGTGATAGACAGTAGACTATAGACAGGTGATAGTCAGTAGACTATAGTCAGGTGATAGACAGTAGACTATAGCTAGGTGATAGACAGTAGATTATAGACAGGTGATAGACAGTAGACAGGTGATAGACAGTAGACTGTAGACAGGTGATAGACAGTAGACTATAGCCAGGTGATAGACAGTAGACTATAGCCAGGTGATAGACAGTAGATTATAGACAGGTGATAGACAGTAGACTGTAGACAGGTGATAGACAGTAGACTGTAGACAGGTGATAGACAGTAGACAGGTGATAGACAGTAGACTATAGACAGGTGATAGACAGTAGACTATAGACAGGTGATAGTCAGTAGACTATAGCCAGGTGATAGACAGTAGACTGTAGACAGGTGATAGTCAGTAGATTATAGACAGGTGATAGACAGTAGACAGGTGATAGTCAGTAGACTATAGACAGGTGATAGACGGTAGACTATAGCCAGGTGATAGACAGTAGACAATAGCCAGGTGATAGACAGTAGACAGGTGATAGTCAGTAGACTATAGACAGGTGATAGACGGTAGACTATAGCCAGGTGATAGACAGTAGACAATAGCCAGGTGATAGACAGTAGACAGGTGATAGTCACAGGTGATAGACAGTAGACTATAGCCAGGTGATAGACAGTAGACTATAGACAGGTGATAAACAGTAGACTATAGACAGGTGATAGACAGTAGACTATAGCCAGGTGATAGACAGTAGACTGTAGACAGGTGATAGACAGTAGACTGTAGACAGGTGATAGACAGTAGACAGGTGATAGTCAGTAGACTATAGACAGGTGATAGACAGTAGACTTTAGACAGGTAATAGTCAGTAGATTATAGCTAGGTGATAGACAGTAGACAGGTGATAGTCAGTAGACTATAGCCAGGTGATAGACAGTAGACTGTAGACAGGTGATAGTCAGTAGATTATAGACAGGTGATAGACAGTAGACAGGTGATAGTCAGTAGACTATAGACAGGTGATAGACGGTAGACTATAGCCAGGTGATAGACAGTAGACAATAGCCAGGTGATAGACAGTAGACAGGTGATAGTCAGTAGACTATAGACAGGTGATAGACAGTAGACTATAGCCAGGTGATAGACAGTAGACAATAGCCAGGTGATAGACAGTAGACAGGTGATAGTCACAGGTGATAGACAGTAGACTATAGCCAGGTGATAGTCAGTAGACTATAGACAGGTGATAGACAGTAGACTATAGACAGGTGATAGACAGTAGACTATAGACAGGTGATAGACAGTAGACTATAGACAGGTGATAGACAGTAGACTATAGCCAGGTGATAGACAGTAGACTGTAGACAGGTGATAGACAGTAGACTGTAGACAGGTGATAGACAGTAGACAGGTGATAGTCAGTAGACTATAGACAGGTGATAGACAGTAGACTTTAGACAGGTAATAGTCAGTAGATTATAGCTAGGTGATAGACAGTAGACAGGTGATAGTCAGTAGACTATAGACAGGTGATAGACAGTAGACTGTAGACAGGTGATAGACAGTAGACTATAGCCAGGTGATAGACAGTAGACTGTGGACAGGTGATAGACAGTAGACTGTAGACAGGTGATAGACAGTAGACAGGTGATAGTCAGTAGACTATAGCCAGGTGATAGACAGTAGACAGGTGATAGTCAGTAGACTATAGACAGGAGATAGACAATAGATTATAGACAGGAGATAGACAGTAGACAGGTGATAGTAGACTATAGACAGGTGATAGACAGTAGACTGTAGACAGGTGATAGACAGTAGACAGGTGATAGTCAGTAGACTATAGACAGGAGATAGACAGTAGACTATAGCCAGGTGATAGACAGTAGACAGGTGATAGACAGTAGACAGGTGATAGTCAGTAGACTATAGACAGGAGATAGACAGTAGACTATAGCCAGGTGATAGACAGTAGACTGTAGACAGGTGATAGACAGTAGACAGGTGATAGTCAGTAGACTATAGACAGGAGATAGACAGTAGACTATAGCCAGGTGATAGACAGTAGACTGTAGACAGGTGATAGATAGTAGACAGGTGATAGTCAGTAGACAGGTGATAGACAGTAGACTATAGACAGGAGATAGACAGTAGACAGGTGATAGTCAGTAGACTATAGACAGGAGATAGACAGTAGACTATAGACAGGAGATAGTCAGTAGACTATAGACAGGTGATAGACAGTAGACTATAGACAGGTGATAGACAGTAGACAGGAGATAGTCAGTAGACTATAGACAGGAGATAGACAGTAGACTAGATGGATGATTTTACATTATATAATATAAAACCTACCTCATTACCACAGGTTCATTAGTGGCATCAGATTCAAGACTAGGTCTGAAAGTAATGGTCATTGATTGTAAATTGATGTATTTTTATTGGTATTTTTCATGATGCTGGTTTTTCGAGATATATCATAATAACATCAAGGTATATCAGACGAAACTACAAATTAACATTGGTTAGTTTTTCTGTGAGCTACACATAGCAATGTTTTATACATGGCATTATATAAGAGACTCTATCTCTGCTGTCCGGGTAAGGAGATGCATCAATACATCTCAAGTATCTGTACTTACTCTAATCATATCTATTTGTGACCTTTTGTACTCATACTCAAAACTTTTAAAAGTCTCAATATTCACTTGCCACAAGGTCTGTCCACTACAAGATACTGCACAGTTTGGAAATCCCTTGTTTCAATTTCTATAAAAAGGTTTCTACATCATCATCATCCATGTAAATATTTTTAGTCATAATGATACATATTATGTCTCTCCTGCTCCAGCCACCTGGTTACCTTCCCTCCTCATTTGTCATATCCCTCTGTTCCTGACCATAAATATTCTCCATATCTTAAATCTGCTCAGTTCATCTTCCTTTTCATTTCTCCCTTCATTTCTTTTTTCTCCTCTCTTCAATACCTTCCTATACCATTTTCTCCAATCTTCTCCCATCCCTCCCCCTCTCTCTGTCTCACACCCTGTTCCCTTGTATTACTTCTCCCATCCCTCCCCCTCTCTCTGTCTCACACCCTGTTCCCTTGTATTACTTCTCCCATCCCTCTCCCTCTCTCTGTCTCACACCCTGTTCCCTTGTATTACTTCTCCCATCCCTCTCCCTCTCTCTGTCTCACACCCTGTTCCCTTGTATTACTTCTCCCATCCCTCTCCCTCTCTCTGTCTCACACCCTGTTCCCTTGTATTACTTCTCCCATCCCTCTCCCTCTCTCTGTCTCACACCCTGTTCCCTTGTATTACTTCTCCCATCCCTCCCCCTCTCTCTGTCTCACACCCTGTTCCCTTGTATTATTTCTCCCATCCCTCCCCCTCTCTCTGTCTCACACCCTGTTCCCTTGTGTTCCTTCTCCCATCCCTCTCCCTCTCTCTGTCTCACACCCTGTTCCCTTGTATTACTTCTCCCATCCCTCTCCCTCTCTCTGTCTCACACCCTGTTCCCTTGTGTTCCTTCTCCCATCCCTCCCCCTCTCCCTGTCTCACACCCTGTTCCCTTGTATTACTTCTCCCATCCCTCTCCCTCTCTCTGTCTCACACCCTGTTCCCTTGTATTACTTCTCCCATCCCTCTCCCTCTCTCTGTCTCACACCCCATTCCCTTGTATTACTTCTCCCATCCCTCTCCCTCTCTCTGTCTCACACCCTGTTCCCTTGTATTACTTCTCCCATCCCTTCCCCTCTCTCTGTCTCTCACCCGTTCCCTTGTATTACTTCTCCCATCCCTCCCCCTCTCTCTGTCTCACACCCGTTCCCTTGTATTACTTCTCCCATCCCTCTCCCTCTCTGTCTCACACCCTGTTCCCTTGTGTTCCTTCTCCCATCCCTCCCCCTCTCTCTGTCTCACACCCTGTTCCCTTGTGTTCCTTCTCCCATCCCTCTCCCTCTCTCTGTCTCACCCCTTCCCTATATTCCCACGAGGTATGTTTGTGATGAGAGATTTAGAGTAAATCATGATTTATCTTGGTATTAGTTAGCAGTCAGACCATGGACTGGAAGCAGGAAACAGGTACTTCTATATCAAAACTTAGATCTTTCTCCACATAAACTCACTGACCTCAAGTACCTGGAACTGATAAATGTAGGAAGGCTGGTACTCGCATAAGGCGATAAATCTAGATTTATGTTTACTAAGAACATTATTTTTCTAAACTCTTACTGAAGTAGTTGTGTTTTTTGTTTTTTTAGATAAATATAGATAGAAGTCTTTGTTCCCAAATAAATGATAAAAATAAACAAGCTAAGATTTCCCTATTGCCTTTTCACTTCTTTATATATAGTTTGCTTAAAAGAAGAATGTTACATCTGTAGTTTGACTTGTATAATGTTCACACATGAAAATTTGGATGAAAATCAGATCGGGTTGATAGGGGTTGTAATTACACATTATGAACGGCCTTGCTGTGAACAATTATAATAATAAGATGAAATTACTCTCGCTATCTGATTAACTTTTATCATCAAAGGAGAGTGTGACATAAACTTGATACAGCCTCATGACAAAGAAGCTAACTAGGAGGGCAGCGTTTGATGTCTGTTTTCATTTTGATTAGCTGGAAAATTCCTCTTTGAACCCTAAAATTTGTGTAGCCATTTTCTTCACCAGCACACTGTTACTTATTTCCTTCCAGAAACTTGGAATTGCACTGTTAACTGGTATACATACAGATTTTATCTATAAAGCACCTGCATATCACTTCCTGCACACATACACTTAAACACATGTATGTGAGGCCTGATGGCTAGTATAGGTTTACACTTATCTCAAAACAACTGCAGAAAATTTTATTTCTTTACTACTGGTTTAAAAGTTGATACTAATGCACTAATTTATAAACAAAAAAACTGCTGCATTCCGCCCTTTGGCAGGAGGCCATGCTGATTCAATAATACATCATAGGATTTTACAATGACTGTGTATAACACGTACCCTATTCAGTAAAAACATTGTGAAAATCTGGAGAATACTAAAGGTCGTTTGTAGGACATATTACTGTGCTATCTGATTTCTCTGATGCACCATTGTCAGTAAACTGGGATTTATTAGGCATGTCTACTATCAAACCTAACAGTATACATACTGCCCTAACACATCATAAAGTCTTTTTCTGTGGCAATGAGCTCAAATTGATCTTCATCTCTGTCCAACATCCGTTTTTACCATCCCTCTTTACCATCCCTTATTTTTGATATTTTCTTTCCATCCCATTTCTCCATCAGTTTTTCTATTATTGTCCCTCCATCCATTTTTCATCTCTTTTCCCATTCCAATCCCTCCATTTTTCCATTCTAAACTTGTATACACATGTGAAGTTTCAGAAATTATTGGAAATTAAAATGTTTCAGTTTACCCATTAATTACTGTTAATTATAGAAGTTGTCATTATGTACTTTGTATGAAATGTGATAGAGGAGAACAGATGGGAGGGATAATGATTTAAACACATTTGGTGTGGTAGTACTGATACTGTAATATATACAGGCTACACAATGTTATACACACACTGTACTTACTCCTCTTTTTGTTTATCATCCTCATCATTGAGAGGTTTCGCTTCCTCCCCACTCTGTCCTCCTCTCTGGTTATCTACAAGAGTCTGCCCATTGTCCTCTAATCCCTTGGCATCACTGGTCCGGCGTTTTTTACGACGACAACAACACTGAAATATAGCTACCATCAGGGACATGCTGACAAGTGCAGTTATAGTGCTTATGATGGTCACAACCATCTTCGACATGGACTTGTCTTTACGCCGCTTGCGGTCACCCACCTCCTGACTCAACGCCTCAGACTTAGCCAAGTCTAGGTCACTATCAGATCCAGTCAAACTGTTGTAAAACTTAGAGGAACTTTGTAGGGTTTTGATATGTGCTGGATCTCTGCTCTGTAAACTAGCATGAAACAGTGTGTGTTTTGACCGATGGACTACGGAAGGACTAGCCACTTCCTTGTCTGTATAAACAGTGAGGTGAAAATCACTCTGATGTTCTGGATGACTGACTCCTTTTGTAGCTGTCAGTTTGTGTAATAACGTTGATTGGGTGTTGTCATTATCACCTGGAGGATCAGCTAGCGGTGAAGTCTGAGGGTGGCCAGAACTCCCTGGGACCCAGGCAGCCCCTACACAGATCACAAGGAGGCACACACTAGGAACTCTATCACACATATTCACCATCCCTTCACTTAAAACACTGATAACTGGCTCCACTGGTACTAACTCAAATTTCTTTATGAAACCCGGACACTAGAACATGTAAGGAGATCATATGATCAGCTGTAGTAAATTCCAGCATAATATTTACTGTTTACTGAGTAATACATTCTTTGCCAGAATATTCCTGTCAAAAAGAGATACACATGAAGATCCAGTGTTTTCTTTGAGAAATAAATCCAAGGAAATCCACTGTACACAGTAATGAGGGTTTTCTATCGAATTAACACCTCAGCGTACCAGCACATCAGTACTCAGTCAGTGTTCGTAGCTGTAACATTTTTTTGAGTATATTCCAAGGAATTAGTGGAGGCTGTTGCTACCTGTGGATGGGAGCTTACATAAACAGGCCTGGGGTAAGGTCAGCCTCTATGTACCATCTCACACTGGCTCCACATACAAACATTGGTAGTGCTACACTATCCCTGCTCTGTGTATCCATGCTCACCTGAACAGTGCAACTTGTACACACCGCTGCTGTCTTTGTGGTAAAATATTTACACAGAACAATATCTGTTTATAGTTGGAATTCTTTAATCACTCGTATGTTGTCTGTATACATGACGCAGTCTAATTCTTAAATACTCCTGTTTAATTCACTACAGGCTGTGTAAGCCTAGTGTGTCTGGAATTAGGCAATGTTAGTGTACTGTTTAAGTCACTACAGGCTGTGTAAGCCTAGTGTGTCTGGAATTAGGCAATGTTAGTGTACTGTTTAAGTCACTACAGGCTGTGTAAGCCTAGTGTGTCTGGAATTAGGCAATGTTAGTGTACTGTTTAAGTCACTACAGGCTGTGTAAGCCTAGTGTGTCTGGAATTAGGCAATGTTAGTGTACTGTTTAAGTCACTACAGGCTGTGTAAGCCTAGTGTGTCTGGAATTAGGCAATGTTAGTGTACTGTATACTTTACTCCACACTGTAAAGGCCTTGTGTACTCTATAGTTCAGTCAATGTGGCAGATTGGGTATAGCTCACTCTGCATTGTATTATACAGCTCACTCCGTATTCTGTACTGCTTCACTTCAGTCCATCTTTCTTTGAATTCCTGATGAACTCTCCTGTCCCATTTCTGTTTAATCCAAGGATGTCAGGCTGTGAAAAAAGTGTCGAATTCTTTGATTAATGATAATAATGGAATGGAATACATTGTTTTTTAAAGATTCTCCAAATAATAGATTTTGGTTTATTTTTCCCCTCTTTTGAATCAGATTATATTTTCAATGTTTGTTTTTCCTTTGAACAATTTACTTGACAGTTTTGCTATATATATTAAAAGAAAAAGCAATATTTTATGACAAAATGAGATGTGATAACTCCTACAGACCTTTATCTGGTTAGATTCTCACTAAATCAATTATGTCCTGATTGGACTGTTTCTCAACAGCTTCTCCGTAAAATTATAACTTTTAGATTTGTGTCACTAATCTCATGTAACAGATAACTTCCTTTATTGATATTGAAATAACAGTGAATGATGTAAAGTTTGTGAGATGTATTAATTTGTACTGGTGTGAAGCTATTGATTGGGATATCTCTGCCTGGTTGTACTATGTGTTAAGCCTCGGGTTAAATTCTCTAACTCTCCATTTCTTAGGATTAGTTCAACAACTGGGCTATTGATTACAATATCATGTTGAATTTAAGTATCAACTTTTATTTTCCTTTAGTAAAGGTGATAAATTAGATTTATTTGATAAATCAACATTCTTAAATCTATAATCAAGACAGAGTGACAGGAACGGTGAATGAGCATTCAATTATTGCTATGGCAACTCGAGGCTTGGTGCTGCACTCATGTAATGGATGGACAGTAAGTCTGCCGAGACCTGCATAAAATGGCTAACTTAAGCAGCTAATGCCAGCAGCAAGCCTCAGTTGATTATTGACAATGTATTTTGGTTTGGAGTTACCCTTATAAGTCAAAACGGTACTGCACTTTGTAATGATAAACAGTTGAACTGAAGCATTATAAATAGGATAACACCTAGATAGTGTGTTAAATTATCTTGTCCTAAGTGACTTGGAAGTCATCAGAGCATTTAAAACATTCACCTGTCAATCAGTAGTGTGTCTCCCATCATCCCATCTCTAACGTCACAGTCTTGCTTCTGACCTTTAGGGTATTCCTCAGTACCTTATCACATCGATCCTTTTAGAGACCAGACGCTGCTGTATACTGGTTTGGCCCTATTGTCCCATACTGTGACAGATCAGGCTGACTCATTCCCAGGACATCCACAGCCGGCTGTGGCTATACATGTATTTCATTTAGCCAAGATATTTCTTATTTATGTGGGGATTTAAAACAGTCAGCATTGTCATAGATGTAAGTCTTTATACCTTAATATCTCTCCCTCCCGGGGTTGTTATAGATGTAAGTCTTTATACCTTAATATCTCTCCCTCCCGGGGTCGTTATAGATGTAAGTCTTTATACCTTAATATCTCTCCCTCCCGGGGTTGTCATAGATGTAAGTCTTTATACCTTAATATCTCTCCCTCCCGGGGTCATTATAGATGTAAGTCTTTATACCTTAATATCTCTCCCTCCCAGGGTTGTTATAGATGTAAGTCTTTATACCTTAATATCTCTCCCTCCCCGGGGTTGTTATAGATGTAAGTCTTTATACCTTAATATCTCTCCCTCCCGGGGTTGTTATAGATGTAAGTCTTTATACCTTAATATCTCTCCCTCCCGGGGTTGTCATAGATGTAAGTCTTTATACCTTAATATCTCTCCCTCCCCGGGGTTGTTATAGATGTAAGTCTTTATACCTTAATATCTCTCCCTCCCGGGGTTGTTATAGATGTAAGTCTTTATACCTTAATATCTCTCCCTCCCGGGGTTGTTATAGATGTAAGTCTTTATACCTTAATATCTCTCCCTCCCGGGGTTGTCATAGATGTAAGTCTTTATACCTTAATATCTCTCCCTCCCGGGGTTGTCATAGATGTAAGTCTTTATACCTTAATATCTCTCCCTCCCGGGGTTGTTATAGATGTAAGTCTTTATACCTTAATATCTCTCCCTCCCGGGGTTGTTATAGATGTAAGTCTTTATACCTTAATATCTCTCCCTCCCGGGGTTGTCATAGATGTAAGTCTTTATACCTTAATATCTCTCCCTCCCGGGGTTGTCATAGATGTAAGTCTTTATACCTTAATATCTCTCCCTCCCGGGGTTGTCATAGATGTAAGTCTTTATACCTTAATATCTCTCCCTCCCGGGGTTGTCATAGATGTAAGTCTTTATACCTTAATATCTCTCCCTCCCGGGGTTGTCATAGATGTAAGTCTTTATACCTTAATATCTCTCCCTCCCGGGGTTGTTATAGATGTAAGTCTTTATACCTTAATATCTCTCCCTCCCCGGGGTTCTATATATAGATGTAATCTCTATTAATGGGATCTAATACCTTATTCTCTTGTGATTATTATAATCATGAAGAATTACAACATCAGTGAGTCCTTACATGTCCTCTGTGATATGACAAGCTCCCTAACACTTCCTCTGTGATATGACAAGCTCCCTAACTTCCTGATATATGACTGTGTGATATGACAAGCTCCCTAACACTTCCTCTGTGATATGACAAGCTCCCTTACACTTCTTCTGATATATGACATGCTCCCTAACTTCCTCTGTGATATGACAAGCTCCCTTACACTTCCTCTGTGATATGACAAGCTCCCTTACACTTCCTCTGTGATATGACAAGCTCCCTAACACTTCCTCTGTGATATGACAAGCTCCCTTACACTTCTTCTGATATATGACATGCTCCCTAACTTCCTCTGTGATATGACAAGCTCCCTTACACTTCTTCTGTGATATGACAAGCTCCCTAACACTTCCTCTGTGATATGACAAGCTCCCTTACACTTCTTCTGATATATGACATGCTCCCTAACTTCCTCTGTGATATGACAAGCTCCCTTACACTTCTTCTGTGATATGACAAGCTCCCTAACACTTCCTCTGTGATATGACAAGCTCTCTTACACTTCTTCTGATATATGACAAGCTCCCTAACTTCCTCTGTGATATGACAAGCTCCCTTACACTTCCTCTGTGATATGACAAGCTCCCTTACACTTCTTCTGATATATGACAAGCTCCCTAACTTCCTCTGTGATATGACAAGCTCCCTTACACTTCTTTTGTGATATGACAAGCTCCCTAACACTTCCTCTGTGATATGACAAGATCCCTAACACTTCCTCTGTGATATGACAAGCTCCCTAACTCTTCCTTTGTGATATGACAAGCTCCCTAACACTTCCTCTGTTATATGACAAGCTCCCTAACTCTTCCTTTGTGATATGACAAGCTCCCTAACACTTCCTCTGTTATATGACAAGCTCCCTAACACTTCCTCTGTGATATGACAAGCTCCCTAAGTCTTCCTTTGTGATATGACAAGCTCCCTAACACTTCCTCTGTTTGATGACAAGCTCCCTAACACTTCTTCTGTTATATGACAAGCTCCCTTTCACTTTCTCTGTGATATGACAAGCTCCCTAACACTTCCTTTGTTATATGACAAGCTCTTTAGTGCTGTAAATATCTGGTTTAACTATAAACATACACATGTCACAGGTCATCCTATTTGTTTTTTGTGCTGAAAATATTATCTCAAAATTGTGCTGTTGGATGTGCTAATTCATCATTGGGCCAAATTAAGTACATTTGCAGTATTTTATCAAAACAGATCTATAATATCATCAGTTTTTGCTGCTGTGCTCTGTATTTCTACATGAAACATACTCTCCCATCAGAATTTGATATGTAGAATAACCTATTGCTAACAGAATCAGGAATGACACAGACCTGTGGGTGGGTGAATCAGTGGGAGATGTGTATAAGAATGTATGTATTTAGGTAAAGGAATGTTTATGAGACTCATATCTACCCTAGTACACCATTGTTACATTGTCATACCATTGTTTTATCTCTTTAACAGCTAATACATTAAAAATTCTACTACAACAGAAGTAAATGTCCTTCAATTTTGTAACGAAAAATCACATAGAGAAACACTTTATCACAGCCGGTAAAGTTACTTTATCACAGCCGGTAAAGTTATTTTATCACAGCCGGTAAAGTTATTTTATCACAGCTGGTAAAGTTACTTTATCACAGCCGGTAAAGTTACTTTATCACAGCCGGTAAAGTTACTTTATCACAGCTGGTAAAGTTATTTTATCACAGTCGGTAAAGTATTTTATCACAGCCGGTAAAGTTACTTTATCACAGCCGGTAAAGTTATTTTATCAGAGCCGGTAAAGTTATTTTATCACAGCCGGTAAAGTTACTTTATCACAGCCGGTAAAGTTATTTTATCACAGCCGATAAAGTTACTTTATCACAGCCGGTAAAGTTATTTTATCACAGCTGGTAAAGTTATTTTATCACAGCCGGTAAAGTTACTTTATCACAGCTGGTAAAGTTATTTTATCACAGCCGGTAAAGTTACTTTATCACAGCCGGTAAAGTTACTTTATCACAGCCTGTAAAGTTACTTTATCACAGCCGGTAAAGTTATTTTATCACAGCCGGTAAAGTTACTTTATCACAGCCGGTAAAGTTACTTTATCACAGCCGGTAAAGTTACTTTATCACAGCCGGTAAAGTTACTTTATCACAGCCGGTAAAGTTATTTTATCACAGCCGGTAAAGTTATTTTATCACAGCCGGTAAAGTTACTTTATCACAGCCGGTAAAGTTATTTTATCACAGTCGGTAAAGTATTTTATCACAGCCGGTAAAGTTATTTTATCACAGCCGGTAAAGTTATTTTATCACAGCCGGTAAAGTTACT